CCTAAAAAATGTGCTTTTCAAATGTGGTTACCAGAAAATTTTTAAAAAAATATTTGGCTCCCATTATATTTCTACTGGACAACACTGATATTTAGAAAAGAAACTGGAGTTTATAGAATGATTCTAATCAAATCTTTGCCATTTTGTTTTGTTGTTGCAACCTTAGGCAAATCAGTTACACTGAGTATTAGCTTCTGTATCAGAAAAAATAGGGTTTAAAACAGTCCTGGGGCGCCTGGGTGGCTAGTTGGTTGGGCGTCTGCCTTTGGCTGGGGTCATGGTCCCAGGGTCCTGGGATCGAGCCCTGCGTCTGACTCCCTGCTCGGAGAGGAGCCTGCTTCCCCCTCTCCCTCTGCTCTCCTACTACTGCTCTCTTGCTCACTCTCTCTCTCTCTTTCTCTATCTCAAATAAATAATTAAAAAAAAAAAAACAGTCCTGAAACCTGTTCAGTTTTGGTATCTAAATCTATTCTCCACTAAAAAAGAATGGAGGGTTCTTTGGAGAAATGGTTTATGTCGGGGCTGGGGCAGGTTAAGTACAAGATGAACCTGGAATATCTTGTTTTGGCAAGAAGGAAGTGCTCAAAAAGTCATTTGAGAGATGAGGGTGAGAGGGGTTGTGAGAGGAGAGACTTGTCAAAAAACATTGGAACCAGCTTGATGAGGCTCCCAAAGACCAAGCCTGAGACAATCTGGGAATCAAAGTAATCACAGTAATGGATTTAACCATTAAATAAAGAATCCATGAGTTCATGCTGATAAAAATAACTGGATAAATAAATAAATAATGGAGGAGATAGGAAAGATTGCTTTATGACAGAATACCAAATATTAATTAGAGAAGGAATGACGAAGTTAGAAAATCATGAACGTATATTAAAACTTGTGGATGAAATATTGGTGAGAATGTTAATATTCTGTTCCTCAAAATATTTTCCCACAAATTACATTATTAATTACCAAAGGATAAGTAATAAATTTCAGGGAGAAATATGGAGAATACCACCTTAACGAAATTTTCAAAGCCAGCATCACCAACATTGAGACAAACCAACATCATGAACCTCAAGATATGATGTACTGATAAAGAGAGAACATCTCTTTAGAGGTATTCTGCCAAATATGTATAAGCAATCTAGTCATGAGAAAACAAGAGACAAATTCAAATTAGGGACATTCTACAAAATAACCATCCTGTACTTTTAAAAAATGTCAAGGTCAAGAAAAACGAGAAAGGCTGAGGAAGTGTTCCAGATTAAGAGAGACTAAAGAGATAGTACTACCAAATGCAATACATGATCCAGGACTAGGAGGTAGGGGAAGCTTATAGATAAAAGAGATAAAAATTGAGCATGGATTATGAAATAGATAATAGTATTATGTCATTTTTAATAATTTACACTGTGGTTAGGTTAGATAATGTCCTTGGTTTTAGGAAATATACACTGAAGAACTTAAGGGTAGAGAGGTATGATGTCACTAAAGTATCCTCAAATGGTTCAGAAAAAAACAGATATAAGGAAAGAATGATAAATGCAGCATAATGTAATACAACTGGTGAATGTGGGTAAGGGTATATAGGAGTTCCTTGTACTATTCTCCAACTTTCCTTATAAATTTGAAATTTTATCAAAATTAAAAGTTAGCAAAAAGTAGAAAAACAAAAAACTTGGCCTATCTCCCAGATTGAATATCCTAATAGACTATACAAGACCTGGTAATATTTAAAAATATGCTAACGCATTTCTTTTATGCTCGACTTTACTTTGTTTTAAATTTAATGACTTATCAGATACTAACTGCATTATATATTCCATAAGACCCAAGACTTTATCCGTTATCGCTCAATGTCATACTGAATACTAGGATACTATTTACTATATCCAATAAGCATGCAAACATTTGTTAGCTGAGCATACTCAAAATTATAGCACTGTATAGGATGATTATAGAAAAATAAATTATAAAAAGCACATTGTGAATAGAGCTATTAATTAGGACATAAGAGTTTGTAGAACTTTTCAATTAAATTGTAAAAAAGAAAACCCAGGAATAAATCACAGCGTAGTCACAAATCTAACCTAAAGACATGAGTTCCACAAATAGAGAAAAGCAAAAATCACTTTCCATATCAAGAGTTAAGCATCTTAGCTAACTACCAGCAGTCATGACAACTAAAATGAACTTTTTCCCTTATGAAATTAGAATATTATATATGAGTTATAAAAAAAATCAGATTACTTTAAAAACTCTGGCTAAAAATTGAGATTTAAAACTTCACTACCGGCTCAATACTAATTTGCTGTATGAGCCTAGGACATTGCTTACAATTTCTGTCTCATAAAAATAAAACTTTTGGATCATTTTCTTTTCCAAGTTATAGAAAGTATAATTTATGAAAATGATTTCAAGCAATAAGAGCACTGAATATATTCAATACAGAAATATAAATATATAATATATATGTATATATGTATATATAAATATACATATAAATATTCACACACATGCAAAAGGAAAAAGATTTGGGCTTTTTTGTAAATATGTTTACAAAGTTAAGTATTGAATATAAGCACGTTAAGAGCAAATGGTAATTTAAGATAATCACATAAACTACATTTAATCCTAATTCACACTGTGAATAAGTGCTTCGCATATACAATACTGAAAAAAACCCAATCAACAAGTGTATATCCTGTTTAAAAGAGTTTTAATGTTTATGTAAAAATAACAATGACAAAAACAAAGTATGAGATGGGTTTTACTAGGTCTCCTGGCTGGGACTATGGGAAACCACTCTCAAATATAGTTAAAGCCCAAGAAAAAATTTCCTTTCAAACACAGTACAGTTATACACTACATTAAAAATATATAGAGATTGCATGTTAGACATACCACATCAACTCATTTTTCAACGTCTTCCAATCTTACTTGTATGTCTAAGTAGGTAAGGCAGAAAGATATTCTAAATCCCTTTTTCCATCAAATCCAATATCGTGTTTAAAATTTGACTATTTTTCAAAACTACACATATTTTTGTGATATAGAGCCATACTTAATGTATCTAAAGAAGAAAAGGGAAAAACCCTAAAGTATTCCAAAACATAAAAACTGACCGAAGACATCTACAAATCACTGTGTGCCTCCGTAAAACTTGACAGAATTATATCGTGAGCCAGTGTTTCAACGCTGTCATCCTGCCTGATTCCCACCAAAGGAACTCAACAATTTCTGAACAGGTTGTCAGTGGAAGAGATCTTTACATAAGCAATTATAAAAATGGGTCCATTTTGTATTCAGGAAGCACTAGCAACACTTGGCTTAACATTTTTATAAAAGAATACCGTGAGGGTTGTTTTTTTTTTTTTTTACTTTTTCTAAGAACTAAAATCACTTATAAATACTTGACTAAAGCTATTTCCCAAAATGTTTCCTTAAATAAGACCAAAATATATTTTATAAGGGTAAAACAGTTTATCGCTTAAAGTGAACTTAAATGCTCCTAGTCGGAGCAAGCTTCCTTCTTGTACATTTTTCTATATCCACCGTATTCTGCAGTGCGCATTTCTAAGCTGAAGCTGTACTGGTTTATTCTACCACGGTCTCCTTTTCACTAGGGAAACACAAGAAAGATCTTCAGGCGCTAACCAAACAAATCTGAGGGGGGTGTGGGGAAAAGGGGCGCGAGGTGGCGCAAGAACAGATGGAAACAAGGTAAGAGAGTTGTTTTCTTAAGGCAATAAGGTACTCCTCAACTCCAAATGCCAAGATTTAATCGCCAGTCGAGCAAGCTGCTACTGCTACCCATCCAGTCCTTAAGACAATGCAACCTTCCTTTCTACCTCTGTTCCTCCTCTCCAACCCACAACCCCCTTGCAAAACAAACAGGCACAACACACCCCATCCCATAACCCTCACAGCCCCTCCTGTGCCCACTAAACCAACCTGCTGGGTAACAGCTCCTCGCACACGTCTCACTCAGACAAAAAAAGCGACCGCGGCACGGTGGGGAGTTCCCACAATCTCCTGCCACCCCGAGCAACCCGCAGAATGACAGCCCCAAGCCCAGAAGTTTGTAGCAAAACGATTCCGACCCCACCAAAGGGAAGACGGAATTGCAAGAGAACGGGGATGGGAGGTGGGGAGGGCGGTGTGCGTGTCTGTGCAGGGAAGGGTCTATCACATGACAGAACAAGAAGACCAGAGTCGTCCGGGCGTCCGCGAGGGGAAAAGGAGGGGGGTGGGGAGGGAAGGGTGCCGTCGCCATGGCAACACCCCCCATCCGTCCAGACTTCCAAAGAGGGAGGAAGAACTTCAAATCCCAACCGTCAGCGCTCGAGCAGCTCCTTCTTAAAGGGGTACACACAGCGCCGCCGCCGCCGAGCGCGAGAGGGCAGAGTTGGGTGCCCCCGCCCCTCGGGCGACGCCCCCGCTGCCCCTCGCCCCCGGCTGGCCCACCCGCGACCCCCGCCCCGCGAGCGCCCGGGGGGTCTCCCCGGTCCCAGTTCCCGGGAACTCGGCCGCGTCCGCCGGCCCGGCCCCCGGCGGCGAGAAGGGGGTGTGTGTGCGCCCGGCGGGGGCGCGGACCAGCCCGCCTTCCTCCCGCCGGCCCTGCCAGCCGGCTCCCCTCTATCCCGAGGCCGACCCACCGGGCCGCTGCCTGCCCCCCGACAGGGTGGACGGCGGGCTGCGAGGGGCGCCGCGGAGTTTCGGGGAGAGCGCGAGCGAGCGGTTTCCTCGGGGGTTCAGCGAGCGGGTCCGAACTAACAGTTCCTGAGAAGCCCAAGAGCTGAGAAGGGAAGGAGCGCGAACCGCGCCGGGCGAGAAGCCCCCAGACAAAAGGCGAGCGCCGGAGCCGCCGCGCCGCCGCCGCTCCCATCGCGCTCCCCCATTGAACTGACCCGAACGGGAGATTCAACTAACCCCCTCAGCCACAAACTCCTCGGGCTGCGGCAGCCGTCGCCGCGCGGAGCCAGGGCTCCGGCCCGTGTCTCTCTTACCTACACAGTGCATGAGGCGGTGGCGCCAAGAGTCGAGTTCCCGCCGGAATCCTCTCCTCTCCGCCGCGCACCGAGGGCTCCGGCACTGAGCGGCGGCGGCGGCGGCAGCAGCGGCGGCAGCAGCGGCCATTCTCTCTCTTCCCTTGTCCATCTGCGTCCCGCGTCACGCGCCCTCATTTACATACGAGCGGCGCAGGCACGAGGCAGGGGCGCGAGCCCTCGGCGCGAGCCCCGGAGCGCGCGCCCCCCGGAGGGGGGGTTGATTGACACGTGTCACTACCTTCCCTATGCCCTTCCCTCCCCCTCCCACCGCTCCCTCAGGGAGAGGCGGGGAGGGAGCGTGAGGAGAAGGAAGCAACCTGCCGCTTCCGCTGACCCCGCCTCCCCATCCACTCCCGTCTCCCTCCTCCCCCCGGAGTTTACTCAAGCAAGCCATACTGCTCCCGCCGCCGCCCGCGAAAATCCTGAGCGGGAGAGAGAGGCTCGGAGCCCGGCCAGAAACCGGCGTGGAGCGGACTAGCAACGCCTCCCGTCTGATTTCGCGACGCGACTCGGGCCGCCCGGAGACTTCACTTCCCAGGCTCCGTTGCGCCGGGGCCCCGGAGCGGAGCTTGCCGCCGCTACGCGATGCATGCCGGTTCTTGTAGTCCAGCAGGGATGGGCACAGTTCTCTCACAGCGGGGTTGCAGACTGGCCTTGACTTCTTTGCGCTGTGCAGCTTGTGCGCTTAGCTTCCAACTCGCTGAGCACAGGACTGCGTCGCCCGCATCGCCGAGTCTGACCCAGTCGCCTTAGCTTCCCTGGGCTCCTCGATAAGAAGAGCGGTGGAAACCGCCAGAGTTTTCTGCCCTGTTAGGGTTCAGGCTGCGCTTTGTGCCTTAAGTGCTGGAAACTTTGGGGGTCACTGTCATCCTGCCACCGCAGGGAAAGATCAAGCCGGCCATTCGGCTGCATCAGAAAGAACTGCCATATATCCAGAGAGAGATCCCACAGTGACTTCAGTTTCCAGGGTGAAGAGATCTAGCAAAGCGAGAATATTTGCAAGGATTAGGGAAAAGATGAGGGGCTTTTCATTGAAAATTGTTTACCGGAGGATTGGGTGTGGCTGGGTGAAAACTCCAAAAAAAAGAAACTGTTATGCTCCGCAAAATGTAAACTCCCGTGGGACAGCAACCAATTGAGACGTCCGTATATTGGCATCTGTCACTTTCATGACCTTCGTACGGTGGGTGGCACGGGATTTAGCACTTCACAAATGTGATGAAATAAATTCTACGCTGTGCTACAGAAAATATTTCTTCTTCAGAGAGAGGGAAAACTTTTTTCTTTCTTTCTTTCCTTTTTTTTTTTTTGAAAACTTTTGATTGGATATAAACTCCAATAACATTTTTTTCACTTTTGCACCAGAGTGCAGGGGTTTCTGTATATGTGCAGGTGTCAAGTCAAAGCTAAAACACCCGAAGTTTGCTGAGAAGTACTGTGTATTAGTGGAAATTTATGCACAAGTCTTTGGGAAATATGCTTTACTCTTCTTAGAAACTCCTATGCATTCAGTGTCACCCTCCCTTTTTTTGCGGCTTATCCTTATTGGCCTGCTTACTTGCTTGCTTGCTTACTTTTTTTTTTAGGAGAAAGTATTTCATTGTTCATCATTACCTCTCAGTAGTGAAGATGTAGTTTTACATTTCACAAGGAGAAAAGAATGAAATTTGAATTTCACAGTCACCTTTTCCAGAATGGTCACAATTGAAGAAGCAAGTGAAATCACTAGTGAAAGTGCTTTTGGAATTATCAGTGGATGATTTCAGTTACAGATTCCACTCAGTTGCCAAGATGATCGGCCTTTGAAGTTTTCATGATCACTTTTACAGTAATCTACATTAGTTAGGATGGGCTAGGTTATAGTGCAGTAACAAAAAATCTAAAAATTTTAGGGGCTTAAAACAGCAACAAAAAAAATATTTCCTGCTTACCTGCCTGCTCACGGGGAGCTGGGGTTGGGATAGGGAGGCAGAGGAGTTTCACTACAGATGGTTCTCACCAAGCAAACAGAAGGCTTGAGAAGGTTCCAATCTCTAGAACTTCCCCACTTGCATGATATGCAAAAAGAACATGAATGGCAAACTGATTCTTCCTGAAAGTTATACAAGTCAATTCCACTCACATTTCTTTGACAAAAGCAAATCTTACGGGCATGCTAACTTCAAAGGGATGGGGAAGTATAATTCTATTTGTCCAGAAGGAAGATAACCCAAATTTACTGGTGAACTGACCAATGTTTACTGCAATTCATTCTTCTGGTCATCAATTTACAGTTATTCAACTTAAACTACAAAATACTTTAACTCCTTGCACAAATGAGACAATCAAAAATTTTATTCAGTAATGGCATTAATTTCAAAGTTCCGCATCTCTGGGTGATGCTTGGTAGTCCCTAAATTAGAACAGGATAAAGCTTCTCTTGTTGAAGAGAAAGTATCTATCCTCCCTGTTTATAGACGTATGCACGCTCAACATGTAGTGCTGGATTAGGGACAGAATAACCATGGTAAACATTCCTATGTAGAAAGGGGAAGAATGGGAGACACACATGAATAGTTTTAGCAAATATTTTACCACAGCTAGCATGGATGGCCAACTATCCAGACTCTAACAATAGTCTCCTTGCTACCACCCACTGAGTTTCTAAGTCACTGCTACATATTTTAAGTTTTCTGTCATAACTATACCTTCTGGGTACCAATTTCTACATTAGTCAGAATGGACTAGGTTATGCTTTAGTAACAGTAACCCCAAATCTCAGAGGTTTAATACAAAGATTTTTTTTTTAATTTCAAGTTTTTATTTAAATTCTAGTTAGTGAGGGCGGTTGGGTGGCTCAGTCGGTTGAGCATCTGCCTTTGGCTCGGGTCCTGATCCTGGGGTCCTGGGATGGAGTCCCGCATTGGGCTCCCTGCTCAGCGGGGAGTCTGCTTCTCTCTCTGCCTCTGCCGCTCCCCCTGCTTGCTCTCTCTCTCTCTCTCAAATAAATAAATAAAATATTAGAAAAATTCTGGTTAGTGAACATATATGGTAAAATTGGTTTCAGGTATAGAAGTTAGTGATTCATCACTTGCATATAACACCCAATGTTCATCATAACAAAGATTTTTACTTCAACTGTATGTTCTCCAAAAGTCAGTATCAGGGAGGATGGGGAGGACTGTCCCATGTCCATTAAGGGACCCAAGTTTATGAAACCCCACCATCTGGAAGCACCCTAGTCACCATGACAAGAAAAATAAGATGCTGAATCACAGTCCAGCTCTTAAAGGCTTCTGCCAGAAGTGACATAGTTCAGTGGGTGAAGCAAATCATGTGGCTATGCCTAACTTCAAAGGAGTGATATATCAGATGGCTTTAAGGGCATAACGAACCACTCCAAAACTTAATAGCTTAAAACATCAACTATTCATTTAGCTCATGATTCTATGGAATGGCAATTTGCATTAGGCTCAGCCAGACACTTCTGCTGGCCTGCGCTGCGCTCACTTAGGTATCTGTGATTAGCTGCCTGTCAGCAAGGCAGCTCTGTTTCTGGGAGTGAGCTGACTATCAGCTGGGACAACAGAGCAATCAGGCCAGGTGTCCCTCATCATCAAGAAGCTAGCCCGGGCTTGTTCGCAGGTTGCACTCACAGTGTTCTAAGAGCAGCAAGAGAGGAAGACCCAGTACACAAGCACTTTATAAGTTTCAGCTTGAGTCACATTCGCTGCAGTTCCAATGGCTAAAGCAAATCATATAGCCGAGCTATATTAACACAAAGAGCTGGAAGACAAATTGCAAATGGATGCAGATAGGGGAAAAGAAATAATTTGCCACTTTTGCAGTCTACTGCATATGGGAAAGTGCAATGCTACTGTGTTCCCCTGAAGAATGAGAAATAGAAATATCAATGAACAGAACTAATGAATATCATTGCTGAAGAATTTCTGGAGAGAAGGGAAAGATCATGGCCATATATAATGAAATACATAAATGGAGCCAACTTTGGAACTCAGCTTGACTTAGAAGAGCAAAGAATTTTCCATGGCAAGTACCACAAAGTATATTATAATAATCCAATAACTTGACTTTAGTGTAAGCTCAATAAACAGAGAGATAGGAGTCTAGCTGATTCACTCTTGTATTCTCAGCATCTAGTGCTGTTCCAGGGACTTAATTGGTGCCTAATATTTCTTTTATTGATTTGACAAATGTTTAGAATATCTATAAAGCCAAGGATAGAAAAAGGGTCATATCCAAGATGGTCCCCTACACTGAAAATCTAGTTACACAAAGGAATTTTCCTATAACAACAGATACATGATATGAAAATGTTGATGTTTGGTGTGCCTGGGTGGCTCAGTTGGTTAAGTGCCTGCCTTCGGCTCAGGTCATGATCCCAGAGTCCTGGGATGGATTCCTGCATCAGGCTCTTGGCTCAGCAGGGAGCCTGCTTCTCCCTCTGACCCTCTCCCCTCTCATGCTGTTTCTCTTTCTCTCTCTCTCTCAAATAAATGAATAAAATCTTTAAAAAAAAAGAAAATGTTAATGTTCTTTGGAAGATGTTTTTGTTCTGCTATTTCCCACATACATTATGTCAGTTATTTATTGCCATGTAACAAAACAATCCATAACTTAGTGGCTTAAAAAAGCAACCATGTGTTATTGTTCAAAAGTCTAAAAGTCAGATTGCCAGTTCTGCTGATCTGCAGAGGCTCTGCTGATCTTGGTTGGAACTGCTAATCCTGGAAGCTACATGATCCAAGGTGGCCTCACTCTGGTCTGGAATTTGGCTCCCTGTTTGCTGGGGTCATGAGAATGACTGAGCCATGTCCCATCATCCAGAGGCTGGCTAGAGCTTATTTACATAGTGGCAGCATGTGAAGCACAACAAAAGAGTAATATGCAAATGCTTTTCAAGACTTTGCTTGCGTTGTTTGCTTGCCACTGTTCCATTGGCCAAGGCAAATCACATGCCCAAGCCCCAGATCTGAATAAGAGGACACTAACAAATGGCGTGGATATAGAAAGGTGTGAGCAAATTGGGGTCATTACTATAATCAAACCACCATGAACATCCATCCAAGTTCACTATTATCTACCTAAAACAGTTATAGTTTGCTTGTTGTTTTTAGAGAGAGAGGTACATGTGGGGAAGGGACAGAGGGGAAGAGAGAGAGAGAGAATCTTTTTTTCTTTTTTTTTTTTTTGAGAGGGAGAGAGAATCTTAAGCAGTCTCCACACTCAGCAGCACTGAGCCAGACACGGGGCTCAGTCTCATGACTCCGAGATCGTGACCTGAACCAAAATCAAGAGTTGGGCGCTTAACTAACTGAGCCACCCAGGCATCCCAGCATATCAATACTTTTCATATAGTACCAAGTATAGACATAAACTGCTGGCAGAATTAATAGTTTCTTGATTTATGTGATCACTGGGTATTTAATTCTTTTTTTTTTTAGATTTTGTTTATTTATTCGAGAGAGAGAGACAGATAGCTA